GAGAAAGTGTGCGAGCTCTGTAAGAGTGACGGGCTGCCCGCGAACCGAAAGCGATGTAGTTAGGTTTTGATACTCTGGTCGTAACCCACGAAATACATACAAGTTCATCTCGTCTAAACCAATCGGCCGACCGACCAAGGCTAGGTCTTCCGCAACAACACGTGCACGACCAATAATAATCAACAATAGAGGAGTCACCCTGCCTGAGAGACTGAAGCTGACCGAGGAGATTAAGTGACCGGGCACAAGATGAAGAAGCTAGAGACTGCTCTATGGACAACCAAACCTCATGTGATGTACAACATCCAACGGCGAGGTGCTTGACTTCTTAGGAGAGTGATGAAATCAACATTAACATCAATGCTTTGTCATGGCGATACCACACGACATGGGTCGGGTTTGGTTGTGGTTCGCTGTCGGCGACAACCGGTAGGAAGGCCGACGGGCATGGGTTAATCCCATCAATAAACCCCATGAGCCTGTGTCCCTCTAAAAAGGGAACTACGTGTGTCCTTCAAAACAATAAATTTTTGTGGGTAAGCTTAATACTGATAAAGTGATGAGCAGTAGAAAGCGAATTGACAGCCATAGAACCGGAGGAAGTAACGACAGCAACAGAAACGGTCCGCTCATAGGAGTTAGCAGATCCGCCAATATTACTGCCCTGGGTTCCATTGAGAGAAAATATGAAAGGAACCTGAGACTACTGATACCAGATGAGAACTGTATAAACTATATTAGATTAACAGCAATTACAACTGTACAGATTAAGGAAATATATACGAGAGAGAATCATATGAAAACTAGGATAGGGAGTCATAATGTGACTTAAATACAAAGAGTCCTAATACTAGTCCTAATAGTGAATGCTCATATGGAGGCCTATATTTTAACTATTGTAGAATTAGAACATTATGATATACTTATTATCCTATTAGTATTTTACTTTTATTATCTATATAAATATTGTCGTCATTTTTATTCATAGAGATATGTATTTTACTGGTATCAACCAACTTCCTCATGAGTCCATGAGAACCAATCTTATAAATTAAAATAATAGATTATGGATGAGATTAATTATTGGTTCTTTGTGTTTCAATAGGTTGAGAAAGTATATGAACAGATACTACAATGTAATAGAGCCAGTAACATTCAAAAAAAAATGGATGAGATTAATTAATATGATATTAAAAACGTGTGTATACATATTAGGCATTGGGAGGGATGTGTGAGAGAGAAGAGGGGGAGGGGGGAGGGGGGGGGGGAGAGAGAGAGAGAATCAATGGTAGCCGTTGATTTGGAATGATAAACAACTCTATAGCAAGGAAAAATGCAGTAATACTTTAGTAAGTATTATTTCAACCTTTTTAAAAGCTAAATTCTAAAAGTGCACCGAGTAATTATTATTACAAAGTGCACCCCATAATATGTAAATGTGTAACCATCTTGAGTGCAGTTTTACACATCATCTAATGCACTTTTAAAAAAATGCAATTAGACTCTTAAACTTTACCGATAACTAACAAGTTACTGGTAAAACTATGGTCGTTGACCACTGCTAACCACTGTTCAACACCATTAAAAAAAAAAAAATCTGGTGACCTTTTCAATTGGAGAAGACGATCGGACCGGTCGAAGGTCATCTTATCCAATGGAAAAGGCGACTGTTCACCCTATTCTCCAAGAAGATGGCGACCAAGTGTCGCCTTCTTCAACTGAGGAAGAAGGCGAACCCTGGTCGCCTACTTCCTGGAGGAAGAGACGATGCTTGGTCACCATCAGTTAAGAGTTGCCTTCTTCAACTGAGAAGAAGACGGCGTTGGCTGCCTTCTTCGACTGAGGAAAAAGGCGAATGAGAATCCAAAAAACGATCGTCGACAACCGATTTAACCATCTGAAGTTTAATTATCAAGTATTACCAGTAGGTGTCCGACCGTTAGATCTAGATGCATCAAAATGATAAATTTATGTGCTTAATTGAACATTTTTAAAGTTTGGAGATCTTGATTAAAAGTGTAGCCCAGGCGCTACCAATTTATACTATGAGTTTATATTACCTCCAGGTTACTTTCTGTGAGCAACTTGAGAGAATCATGAACAAGTACAGGTGGGAGTCCGGGAATAGGGGTGGAGGTGGAATACGTTGGATGGCATGGCCACGGTTATGCGGTCATAAAACTGAGGGAGACATAGGTTTTAAAGAGTTGAATAAATTCAATGTTGCCCTCCTTGTCGAACAAGGATGGAGATTGTTGACAAATCCTTCTTCCTTAGCAGCAAGACTTTACAAGGCTCGGTACTTCCCGCATGGAGAGTTTCTATCTGCGAATATGGGTGCAAACCCTAGCTACTGTTGGAGGTTGATTATGGCTGGCTAAGAAACTCTGCGTAAAGGAAACGAATTGGAAATGGTCGGACCACTAATGTATCATCCTTGCTCCCTAACTCAACAGAACCTTGTATCTAAACCTCAATGTTGGATAGAATAAGGTATATATGAAGCCATACGATTGTTTCATGAATGGCTTGATAATTTGCAGGGTGGCAATAATAGTACTGTGACTGTAAATTCTCCAGTAGGTGAAGAATTAGTAACTAAAGGTTTGACTTTAGTTTAATTTAATTATGTTGACCCAACAGTTTTTCCTGAGTCCAGACATGCATATTTTGGAATTATAATTAAAGATCGGAATGGTGAGTTTATTGCGACAAAGAATGGACCAATGTGATGCTTGAATGGTCCATATTTGACGGAGGCACTTAGAGTGAAGAAGGCATTATCATGGACAATAGAAAGAGGCTTAACCAAAATTCTGGTTCATTCCGATTGTCATATGGTTTACAATTTAATCAATCATGCGTTACCAGATTATTCTTATGTAGGGTGTGCTATTAAAGATTGCAGTAATTTTTGTAGATACTTTGAAGTTGTGTCTTTTAAGTTTATTCTTAGATCAGTGAACAAGTTGGCTCATGTGTTAGCACGAGAGACTCGTCTGGTCTTTTTAAGTTGGTTTTCTTTCTTACCAGCTTGTATTGAACATTTGCATTAATAAATCTTGAGTTTTTCCTTTAAAAAAAAAGTTTAGAGATTTAATTGCACTTTCCTTTAGGGATCTATTTGACCTTTTTCCCATTTATAATTATATATATAGAATTCTATTACATGTATTTTCAAATTCTAATCCCTCACTTATACTCTATGATGTGGCAAACAAGGATTGAATATTTTTATCATGCGGGTCCCAGAAAAGTGTCCACATAAAAAATTTATGAAAGAGTAGAAGTTAGGCTGATATTACCCCTGCAATCCCAACCTTTGCAAGATGACATGGAGTTTGCCATGTATGCTTTTTTCTTTTTCTTTTTTTTTTTTGTTTAAATGATGATTAGGATTGCAAGTTTGCACTGCTTGCAAACTTGCATCCGTACAAAAAGCTGCCGCAAAAAGCTGCCGCGTTGCGGCAGCTTTTTGTACTCTTTTTTTTTTTTTTTTTTTTATTTAGTTTATTTAATTTTGTATCACTTCTTTTTATTTTATTTGTTTAGTTTGTTTTGTATTTTGCCATATTAATTTTTTTATATTTAATATCTAATTTTTTTTAATAAAATAATATGTTAAAAGAGTACATAACATAAATAGTTGTAATGTCTTAATTTTTAATGCTTTGAGTGCTTTCGTAGTTGTAATTTGTTTCATTTTAGTGTTGTCGTAGTTGTAATTTGTACTTGGGTTAATTTTTATGATTTCAATTACTTTGAATTTGTAAGGTTCATTTGAGGTTTAGTTTAAAAATTCAAATCGTGGTATAATATGCATTCAGTTATATACCATACATAATACAAATAATTTCTTAAATTATTTTTTAAAATAAATTCATTAAAATTACGTGTCTAAAATTTATGTTGATATACATACATTTTTTTTTTGTAAGATTGATTGATATACATACATTCATTACTATATGTAAATTAATTCATTAATACATACATTTAGGTTTTCCATTAATACATACGTAATTAGTTATTTTCAAATTTGTTATATTTAATATTTAAATATAATTTATATATTGATATAAAAAAATAATGTTGAAGACAAAATAATATTTATTAAGAAAAAAATATTAATTTTTTAAAGTGATGTGAAATTAGGGCCCACTTTTGAAGGTTGATTGGATTTGCAAGGATGTAGTGTGAATAGTATATGATTTGTAAATGGGATGATGTGGAAGTGGGACCTATTTTTGAGAGTGTTTGCAGGGATAAGGTCAACCTTAAGGGGGCGTTTGGTTCAGGTCATCTTTGATTACCTAGGTAATCTGAGTCTGGTAATGTTATATTACCTTGTTTGGTTCAAATTATGAGATTACCTGGTAATGTTATATTACCTGAAAGCTGATGTGGCGGTAATGTTTCAAGGTAATGTGATTACCCCCATTTTTTTTAGGTAATCTTAGATTACCTTGAATTATTCCAACTTTGTCCTTGTTAACTAATCCTTATAATAATAATAATAATAATAATAATAATAATAATAATAATATATTATTATTATTATTATTATTATATATTTAGTTTTTTTATATTTGAACATTGATATACATTCATACATATAAATAAATAAAATAAATACACGCACATAAATAATATATATATATATATATATATATATATATATATATATATATATTATTGAGGACATTATTGTAAATTGATTCATATAACCTAAAATATAACCCTTAACCAAACACGGTAATATTATATTCCACAATCTAAACCAAACACATAAGGTAATCTTACATTCCGGTAATCTCACATTACCTTCCTGAAGGTAATCTTATTACCTAGGGTAATCCAAGATTCCGTGAACCAAACGCCCCCTAAGAGTAAAATGCGAGAATACATGTAATATTTTCCAATTATATATATATTCCAAATTAATCTTTAAAGTCGTTCATATGACGTAGTAGTGTAGTACAGACATCTTGTATTGCATGTACTACTCTGAGTACTCTCCTTTGGTGTACTACTCTCATCGTACTGCCGCAGCTTGTAAACCAAACTCCACTGCTCACCGAATCACAATCCGACGATCCGTTCCCCACACCATTTTTACTCATTCGCAAAGACAAACATCAGATTACAGTTTCTGCAAATTCTCTTTCGTCTGCCTTCTTTTCTCGCCAAAGTCTCCTCCCTCTCTCTCTCTCTCTCTCTCTCTCTCTCTTTTCTGTATTAATGAAATATTATATATGCAGCATAGCTGATGGGTTCTGTCCGTTTCGCAGGTTTTCCGGTGAGCTCAAGCCATAACTTCGAATCTGGAAAGATGGAGGTATGTTTATGTGTTTTGTGTCGATATCATATTAGGGAAAGATATTGTGTATGATTACGCAGCTCTCTTAAACCCTTTTTTTTTGTAATTGGTCTTTTATTGATTGCAGAAAGTAGCACTTGAGCTAAAGCCTCCACCATATCCACTGGTAAGATTATGGAATTTCGGGACAATCCCTGTCTAGTTGTCAAATTATTGAGTTAGTAACTAAAAAGTTGTAAGTTTGACTCGCAAGGACAATCTAGACTTGTTAGAGTTGTGGAGTTTACTCAGTGTACAACTTTAGATAGTAGGTGCGGATTTTCCTGGTGACTCATAAAAGATAAAGGCATACGCTTTATGTTTAGATGGGAAAGAAGTATTTTGTGAAGTAGAGAGCTGTAATTGAGATTTGCTTCATGTATTCTGAATATGAAACTTGATTGGTAGGAGTTTCTTTGGTTTTACATGTGCTGAAAATTGGGTACTAATAATGATGGATATATTAGGAGAAGGGTTCGGGGCAAACCGATCTGAGGTGGTCGTGGTCGACCTCGGCCTCGGTCAGGGTTGGCCGGTCTCGGTTGGGGTCGACCCCGGTTCAAGTCGGCCTCGGTTAGGGTGGCCGCGACCCAAGACTGATAGCCACGAGGGTGGTCGTCTTAGGCCTCGGGCGCGCCCATGGACTCGGTCAAATCGTGATCTAATCGCCTACCCTATTCTTAGGAAAATACTTGGTGTACTTCTATTTTATACTCCCAACTTGTACTCCTTCTCACATGTTCTTGATGTAGACATTTTTCTGTGGATCCACATGTTGAAAATAACCAATCCTGACTTGCCACATCAGAGAGTACAAATGAGGGAGTAGAATTTGGGAGTTCATGCAGTAGAACTCCTATTCTTATGGAGACGGTTGGGGAGTTATAGCTAGTATAAAAGGGCATGCTCTTGTCTTGTTAGGACATCTACTACTTCTTGGTCTTAATACTACATTCAACTTGTGTAATTCTCCTACAAAACATTATTAATACAAAAGTTGTCCTCGCGACACACATTTATCATCTTAATTACCGCATTGTCCTAGTCCTATTGTTATCGGGTTTAATAATTCGGGCTACCCCGGGTTAATTAAATCCATCAAATAGATACAAGGATGGACCCAGTGTGGGGGCAGCTGTCCCCCCCCCCCCCCCTCCCCCACCCCACCCTTTATATATATGTATGTATATGTATACATATATAGCATGAAATATTATATAAAATCTATATTTATGTTGAAAATATCAATAATTTGAGTAGCTTAGTTGGTTGAACTTTAAATTTTATGTTATAAAAGGCTTATGTCATGGGTTCAAATTTCATTAGCAACATTTTTAATTATCTTCTCTCTTTCATTTCTTCACAAGATAAATTACATATTTTTAATCTACTTTTTATGAATCATTTAATTAACAAATTAAATGCTCTGATCTTTTAGTCTAGTTTTTATAAATCATTTAATTAATGTAGTATACGGGTTTATAATATACTTTATTGTATTCGAATTAATTTAGAAAAATCAATCTAACTAAAAGAAATTTAAATTTAAAAGTATTTATGAATATATTGTTATTCAAATTATTTTATCTAATTGATTAGGTTTCATATTTTCTCGTAAATATATTGTAATTTATAATGTATTTTGTATTTTAACCTTATTATGGTTGTTTGATATTTTAACGTGCCCCCACATGATTTACTGGATCCCCCACTGAATAGATATTGTTTTGATTGTATTGCTCTTTGGCATACTTCTGGATTGGATAGGATGCACTGGAGCCTCATATGAGTCGCCAAACATTTGAATACCACTGGGGAAAACATCACAGGGCTTATGTCGACAACTTAAACAAGCAGATCGTAGGAACCGAACTGGATGGGGTATCATTAGAAGACATTGTATTGGCCACATACAACAATGGTGATTTTCTTCCTGCATTCAACAATGCTGCACAGGTGAGCCCAGTTCCTTGATTATTGAACTAGTCTTGGCAAAATGTGCAGTCATTAAACATTTTATGTTTATGTGCTTACAGGCTTGGAATCATACTTTCTTCTGGGAGTCTATGAAACCGGGTGGGGGAGGGGAGCCATCAGGTGAACTTCTCGAGCTAATCAATAGAGATTTCGGTTCGTTTGAGACATTTATGAAGGAGTTCAAGGCTGCTGCGGCAACACAATTTGGCTCTGGCTGGGCATGGCTTGCATGTGAGAGCAGCTTTTAAGTTTTAAGCATATCTTCTCTCAGTTCTCTGTATATTTCTTTACCTTTCGAGTTTCAGTTTACCCGGTTATGAGGATTGATTTATCTTTCATTCATGTCCACAGACAAGGCCAACAAACTTAATGTGGGAAATCCCGACGAAGACAAGAAGCTTGTAATTGTTAAAACTCCCAATGCTGTAAACCCTCTTGTCTTGGATTACTCTGTAAGTACCATTACCTAGTTGTGTTACTTTGGTTGTATACTTGTATTATAGGCTTCAGTCTTCAAGCCCCTTAAATATTTTTAAATTTTTGTGCAGCCACTCCTAACAATAGATGTTTGGGAGGTAAGGAGAAACATTCTATTTTATGCATATGTTAGATTGAATCCTTAATTCCCATGATGATGTTGTGAATTGACTTACTGAACTGTGATTTTGTTTTGGTTTCTTATTGCAGCATGCTTACTACCTAGACTACCAGGTAAGTTGAATCAAATGAAGCAAACTTCTTTTCCCTTTGTGAATTCTCATGCCCTTGAACTCTAGAGTGGATTGGATTATCTGAGTATCACTCTAACTCTAGCATTACATTGTTCCTAGAATCGACGCCCCGACTACATTTCTATTTTTATGGAGAACCTTGTATCGTGGGAAGCAGTCAGCGCTCGCTTAGAGGCAGCAAAGGCTTCAGAAGAGATAAGAAGAGGGTGAACAAAGAAGCACTGACCCTAGTGAGGTGTATGCTGAAAGTGAAACAAAATTCTGAAGCTGAATCTGAATGATTTTTTGTTCTCTTTCAGTAACAGATATAATGCTTTTTCTGTTTTGTTTTTTTTTTGGAATCTGATGCCAAGGTGGTTGTGCAAGGCTTTGTCTCAAACTATGGTTTTTCTTTGCTTTTGTCATATATCTGATGAGTAGGTTTACTCAGATTGGTATATCTTTTATTAAACGTTCAGTGAATAAGGCTGTTCATTTGTTAGCAGCTAGAGAGTCTGTTTCTACTTAAGGAGTGAGTCTCTTCCCCTCTTGTTGTTTGTAATGTTCTGATTGATGATATGAATAAAAATCGTTTTCGTTTGTTTAAAAAAAATGTGCCTAAAGTTGAAAATGAATATTCAACCGGGATGGCCTCTGGAAAAGCTTTATGCGTATAAGAGTGCGATTAGACATTGAAAAGCCTCTTAAGAGGAAAATGAAGGTCAAACCTCTGACGGGTGATCCTTTTTACATAGAGTTCAAGTACGAGAGGTTAGTTATCTATTGTTTCATCTGTGGCATGATCCGGGCACAACGAAAGAGATTGTGACAAGCTCTTTGAAGGTAGTTCGGAAATACCCGCAAGGAACTATATGGACCGGAACTCCGAGCAACTGGTCGAAGATCCCAGCCAAGCGCAGGTCAACGTTGGAAGCTCTCAGAGTTACCTCGCTGGCAAATCAATGAGGAAACAAAAAAACCCACCTTTACCTCTGGCAACAACACAACCCATGCTGATATTCCTTATGAGGAAATCAACGTTCAGAACTCATAGAGTAACCCTCATAATATAGCCATGCAGTCCGATGTTAGTCGGTATGAGAAAGCTGGTGGCATTAATGAGGAGTCTGTCAACATTAATATGGGCAGCGACAAAGCGCATTCAATGATTCCAGCTCATACCTTTGTGGGTTCGCTTAAGGCATCCTCAATAGTGTGAAGATTTTGATGAGATTTTACAAGTGTGATTAGGAAAGAGAAAATAGGATGGGGAAAAAGAAAAAAAAATTAAAATTAAAAATTAAAAAAACAAAACAAAACAAAACAAAAAAAAAAAATTAGAATTATGTGCCCAGGCGGGCGCGTGCAGTGGGCGCGAGAGTTGCGCCTCACGCACGTGAGGCACAACTCTCCATCTTCACATGTGGGTCTCACCCTCTGCAAAATCTCCATTTTTACAGGACAACCCCATCCCCTCCCTCTCCTCTCTCCTCTCTCTTTCACCTTGCCATTTTTCCCTCAAAACCTGTGCACAACCCCCTATTGGGGTTGCTCTTATTACCGTGGGGCAAATGGCTTTTAACTCATCCTCATTGGACCTAGTTACCAGGCATACTCTAGCAAATCACTTACCATCTTTTCAACCCAACTTGCAAAGCCCATTGGCTTATGGGCTCAATATTGAGTCACTTATTGGATCGGATCACAGAAAGAAGAAGAAGGGCTTGGATATTGTTGAACAGGCCCAGGATTTGGATATGATCTATGTTGGTTCTCCACCGAGTCTTTCAAAAAACTTGCTAAAGGCGGGCTCTGCATCGCAGACCCACTTAGACCAATGAGTTTTATATCTTGGAACTGTCGGGGGTTTGGTTACCCTACGATGGTTCAAGTCTTAGTGGATGTTGTCCACTCAAACAGGCCTGTCATAATTTTCTTAGCTTGATGGAAACAAAGCTCGGCTCAGACAAGATGGAAGGCATAAGGAAAAAAATTGGGCTTTGACTTTTTATTCTCTGTGGATAGTGTTGGTGCTAGTGGGGGCCTGGCTCTCATTTGAAAAAAAAGATTTAGAGATTAACATTGTTGACTCTTCCAATAATCACATCGACGCCACCGTCAAAGCTGTTGCGTACGTTCTCCTCTACCTGGCGTTTTACGGGTTTTTATGGTAACCCAGAAAGATATCGTCAGAAGCTGTCTTGAAATCTCCTCAAGCAACTCTCTCTTACCTCTTCCCTACCTTGGATTTTAATTGGGGATTTCAACGATATCCTTCTTCCGGAGGAGAAAATAGGTGCAGTTCGTCAACCTCAGTGGCTTATGCGTGAATTCAAGGAAGCAATTGAGTTCAGTGGCGTAACACCCCACTTTTCTAATATCTAAATCTCAAATACTATACTTAAATAAGATAATTAAATAAGATTAAATTAAATAACTTAAAGCCATCAATCCAACAAGTACAGGTGCTACCGCCACAGCCACTACTCACGGTGACTGCACAAGCTACATACTGTTGGTCCCAAAAGAGGTAAGGTAAAAGTCTAGAGAGGGGGGGGGGGGGGGGAGGGTGAATAAACTTTTAAACTTTTTCGCATAGCACAACAATTGCTAAGGCACAGAGAAACCAAAACTTTTAACTAGATTGTTAGAGTTTGGTACGCAGCGGAAATAAATAAATCAAGTGTGTGTAGAGATTGTGTCAAGTATATCTCGTGAGAAGCAAGAATGAAGCAGTAAGTAAAGAAAGCAGTAAAGAACACAAGACAATTATAGTGGTTTGGAGGTGGTGTAATCCTCTTACTCCACTTGCTCTTATCTCCAAGAGCAATTCACTATATCCACCACTTCTTGGTTCCTAGATACAATGAATTCCGTGATCTAGTGCTTTGATCACCAAGCCCGCACTAATCACGCACAGTGCCACCAACACTGCTGCTTCAGGTTTCACGTCGCCGCGCTACTTTCCCAGGATTTCACGACTCCGCGTTACTTTCCCCCAGTCTTCTACGCTCCGGTAGAAATGTTCTTCCGTGATCTAGTGCTTTGATCACAAAGCCCGCACTAATCACGTCCAGTGTCTCCGACACTGCTGCTTCGGATCTCACAGCTCCGTGTGACAATCCAGGATTTCACAACTCCGGGTTTGTAACACCCCCGAATTTCAACATCTTTTAAAACCAATTTAAAGCTTAACGAAGAGATAAAGTCTACTCATTAAGATTAAATTAAAGCGGAAGCTCATAAACAAGTACGGGAGATGTTATGCCACACCTACACAACATTAGGTGCACAGGCAAACGCTAACTACTAAGCAGTCTAATAGTTCAACTACTTAGGCTCACAGGCCTCAACAACTAATAAAGGAAGAAATCTAATCTATCTACAGGCTACTAGCGCACACTCCAAAGCTACTCAACCTGTAAAAGATAAGGGATAACACCCGGTCAGCGAATAATGCTGGTAACCCATCAACACGTGTTAAGTATCATAATATACATAGATATAATCAAAAGCGTTTGAAGCTGGGAATACAGTATATATCATTTTAAGCCGGGAGAGGAAACATTATTAGACTCATCAATCACTCACAACAAAGGTCAAAGACCAACATACTCAACAAGACAATAGAACCACAAGCAACAAGCTCAACAACAAGGTACAGCATGCGACACACAACGAAGGATTCACAATAGACATGTTCTTAAGCAATGGTTCCAAGTCCACATAGGACACCATCACACCAAGTCACATACCATGGAGTCAGCACCACGGCTCGATTCATAGTGGATCAGTGTGGATGGCTCCATTGCAATGACCCGGATCACATGCATAGTGTCATCGCAATGACAAGGACCGCACCCCAATGAAAACAGAGCTAGCAACTTTAAGTGTATACACCCCCTAATGAGATTCCAAGCTCAACGGGTTAGTTACCATCTCTGGCAACGGGGATAAGTTTCCCATGTTGCCCACAAGTCACAAGTAACCAAACGGCCATCCAGAGCTTTAAACCCACTACCGGTCCGTTCACACATAAGTCCCCACACTGTCCACTTTACCAGCTCAATCATCTCATCACATCAATCCATCATCTCAACAAGAGTTAATACACACAGAATCTAGAGATACAACAACACATAGATTCCACACAAAGTGTGTACAACAAGGGATAAGCTCAACAATAGCTTAATCAAGGAATAATCATACACACGGGATCACATCAAGGGATTCAATCAAGGGGTTTCAATAAAGGACATGAAACGATACACAACAACAATGGACCTCAATCCAATACCAACACGATTGGCAACACGAGTTGCCAATCCTCAATAGAAAGGGACAAACAACACATACTAGCATCAATGACACCAAGACTAGCATGCATATTAAACGGGTAAACCAAAATGGTTCCAACGAACCTTCAAGACTCATATTAGTCCAACGAATCACAAGGTTGGGCTACAAGCACGATTCAAGACACCAAATCCTAACATGGATTCCTAACTCATCGTTCTAGACATACGAAACATCAAGAAGACTCACAAAAGATCAATAATTCAACAATTGGAGGTCAAAACATCAAATACCAAGAAGAAAGGATCACAGGGAACAAATCCTCGCAACCCAAATATATGTTCCCCGCGGGTGGAACCACGGGTAGGGCTCCACCTGTAACACCCCAGATTTTCGAAACTTTTAAAACTTATATAATAAAGGTAATCTCTTATTGATTCCCAAACAGAGCATGAACTAAACATAATTGTCGGGGTGCTATGCCACATCTGAGCTGGAGAACTCAGATGCACAGGCTAGACTATCTAAATATTAGAAATCCTCAAAGCAATGTCAATACATCATCATGGCACGCAGGCCGAAAGAAAAACTATTTATCTTAGCCTCGGTCATCTAGCGCGTTCCGGAGCTACTCATCTGTGCATGAAAGCTAAATATATCTGTTCAGCGAATAATGCTGGTAAGCCACTCCAACGCGTTTAAATACAGTATAGGTATATATATATATATATATATATATATATATATATATATATATATATATATAGGAAACCATTTTGAAGCAGGGAGATATATACTTAGGAGACTCTAGTTTTAAAACCAGGAATAGACTCGACAAGTAGAGACAAACACATTCAACAGTCATAATCAAGCATGTAAAGACATCATCACATATATATATCCTAAGGTCACAGGTTACTTTCATGTCATTCATATCATCTTTCAATCAATATCTTTATCACATAGGCACACTTTGGTGGCGCCACGGGACCAATCGCATGCCCATACATGCAGGGATGGAGGCAAGTGTATACTTAGGGGGGCCTTGGCCCCCTCCCCCACCCCAAATTTTTTTAATATTATATATGTATTAAAAATTTTTTAAAAATATTATATAGAATTTTAAAATTTTGTTGTTTTTTAAAAATATTTGGCCCCCCTCCACTTAATTAATCTTACAAGTAAAGTTATAAATTTCTTCATCTTCTCAACTTTTTCAGTTTTCTCCTATTTCGAATTATGTATTCCCTATATTGTTGACTCACATTCAAATTAAACCTCATTTAACCTACTTACTAGTTTCTCTCTCTAGAACCA